TTTCAAAGTGGCAAGCTGGCCTAGGCAAAACTGTAGCTTAAACCACCTGGAACCAAATTTGGCTAAATTCTCCTAAATGTTCCTGTGATAAACAGTATTTGCTCAAAAGAATACTTACAGATTGCTTTCACGTTAGTATATGACCCCAGTGCCTGTAGCCAAATTTGTCTCCTCCGCATTCCACCTGTTTTTCAGGGGTTTGGGGAACAAGGCACTCTTTTCCATATATGTGGTCTTGCCCGAAGGCAATGCGATTTAGGACACGAGTTTATAAAATGATCATATCTGTCCTAAATATCTCTCTCACACACAACCCCTGGGAAGCCTTACTACATAAGCCAATCCCTTCTCTGACTAAAGCCCAGAGGAAGCTGGTGGGGTTTGTCTTCCTGGCAGCCCAACAAAAGCTTGCCAGGGCCTGGTGCCAAGTTTGTTAATTTTGCAGAGGTCAAGCAGAGGCTTTTGGGAACCATAGTCCATTAGAACATCACCTCTATACTCACAGATAGCCATGCCAGATTTTTGATAATTTGTGAACCATGAATAACCTATAATGACCACCTTATTCTAGGCCATTCTTTACTTTGCATATGATCACCTGAATGGGCCATCATTGCACTGCGAAGCAAGCTGGACCCAACAGGAACCTTCTTTACCTCCCCCTCCTCTCAGGCAAGTTCTCTCTTCCTCCTCTTTTTCTTTTTTCTGCACTGTTTGCCATTTACCTCTAGAAGGTCGTTCCCTACTTTCTACTTCTCTCCCTTTAATTCTGATCCCTCTATTTGACCCCATGACACCTTCCTCCCCTCTCCCCTCATACGAGGCCAAGTGCCTTCACCGGCAGCATTTGTTGCCAACAGTATGACCCATGTGTCATCTCGTTGATGCAAATGTGCAGCTAGCTATACCTTTTGTATAACAAGCAATGTAACTCTATTCTCTATTCTCCCTTGCCTGGTGGACCTGTTTATATGTCCTTGCCTCTGTTACTCTTTCTTATTATTCTGTTTGGCATGTTTGCTGTATGACACTTACCAAAATATTTTAAAACCCAATAAAATAATTTGTGAAACAAAGTTGTCTTTGATTTGCTGTGGGTAAACACCGTTATCGGTGTTTGGTTCTTCCCTTTAGTCTTACCTTGGCCCCCAGGGGTATTCACAAAGGTCCCCGTTCTGGTTCTAGGTCTTCTTCGCCTCAAAGATATCCCAATTGTTGGGTTACTTGTATGATCTCTTGCTTTGCAAAGAGACTTTTATGTCCTGGGAAACCAGTGTCAGTCATGCTGTGGATCTTGGAGGCCTTTGATTCCATTGCATTGATTGAAGTACTTGGACCTTCCCTTGGATACCTTTCAAACCTTGGTTCAGTAATGCTTAGGTGTGTTGTGTGCTTTCCTTTCTTCAGTTAGGGTTAGATGAACATCTAGCCCTCTGAATAATGAAAGCTCAGGCAACTGTTTTGTCTGTGCTTTTTTTTATGTAAGCAGATCTACTACTCAGTCGAAAAAGAAAATCAGGTTTTGTTTGTTAATGCTAAGGTGCTGTAAAACTGTCATTGTTCATTGATTGCTTTTTATTTAATTTTTTTTATTTTACAATATTGTTATAAGTGACTGTGTTATATTTGTAGAGTTCCATAAACATTAAATCTGAAAGAGGATCAGCTGTTCATATCATCCCAAATGTGAATTACTCAGAGGACTTTGAAACTGATGAAAATGTGCCTTCTGATCAGAGTGATGATCATGAACAACAGGTAAAGCTATTCCATTTGTTTTTATGTTCTGTGTGTTTAGGGTGAAATTTCACTGAAAGATGATTACCTTAGGCCTAGTTTACATTTGCAGTTGGGGAAGGGGGTGGGGGGGTGGTGGTAAAGACAAGTGTTTGAGCTGCTGTTTTACTGCCCCAACTGTTCTTCCTTAAGCTGCAAAGGCGGCAGGGGTGGGGGGATGTACATATGCCATAGCCACGATGCTTTGTATCGCTGTGAAGCAAAAACTATCCTTGCTGTTGCATTTGGCGTGCAGTACCATTCATAAAATGCGATCCATTCAAATATTTTGTGAACAGGAAGGATTTTTATTGCAAAAAGAGACACATACTATGTCTCTTCTGTATTAAAGTAGGCTTATGTGCTTATAATACAAGATGTAAGGCGAGTGCAGAAAGTAAAAGGCTGCTAGCACAAATTGGGCAAAGGTAACAAGACACACAATACTAAATACAAATAGAAGTGCAGAGCTAAATATTAAATCTCCAAGTGCTTAAGTGAATATAGTGAGCATACAATATCAATATGATGTGAACCTGATAAAAACACATCAAATCTTATAAATCAAATAATAAAAAAGGTCTGTGTCACTACAAATCTCAGCAATCCTTGTGTGATAAACACGAATAGTCTGTGGTACTAAAAAAAATCACAGAAATGTCAAGGTGAAATAAGTACTCTTCATCTAGTGAAGAAATCAGTAGTACTACAAGGTGCAGCAATACCAAGTAGGATATTCAAAAGTACTCATGATCCAGAGCGGAAATCCACCACCTCTTTTGGATGTGAACTCACCAGAATGCCACTGGTATAGTAGCGTTTGTGCTGATCATTGTGGAGGATCTCAGAAAGCCAAAATCAGGGACCGGACTTCTCCAGAAAAGGGGCTTACAGAAACCAATAAAGGATCTTCCCTCTGCCTCCTCTGAAGCTACTGTAGGCCTGATCGTCGTAGGTATCGTAATCCGCCATTGCTGCTGTCTTTTCTTCGCAGCCCTAGGAATGTTGTACCTCCTCAAGACACTAAGCTGTACTGGGTTTGTAATGTATGTGGGGCATAGCTACTAGATTTTTGATTTAGATTGTGTCAAAAGCTTCTAGGAAGGATAATGAACCCTTTTTTAGAAGAACTGAAATCCTCAGTTAACCAATGAGCTCTAGAAGAAATATTCATCCACATAATCTATAAGAAAGGCCTTAGTGAATGAGGGTAAGGCAGCTACTTCTGATATGAAATTGGTGCTAAATGTAAACAGGCCTGTTTTTTTTTTTCAGGATTAAATTGGTTATATTAAATCTTCCAGTATAAAAAGCTAATCGTTATGTTGTAATTTTGAGATATCAGCAGAGGAACTGAACTTTGCAACTTCAAAAAAAAAAAAATGAAAAGGCAGGTGAAGGGCAAAGGACTAGCATTGCTCTCTACTGTGTCTCTGCATGCATGCAGCCATTTTGGTAGAGGCAGCAAATTTGCTTCCACGTGTTAGAGCCTCCAACAACAGTGACCAGCACAGTAGATACTCCACCAAATCTTGTGAAACTAGCAGTCAGAGGCACGAGTGTCTTAATCTCACACTGTAGATATACAGCCAATGAGGCTGTAGCTACATGGGTGCATTGGGCACACCAACATACCAGGAAGCTTGGATGGAATTCCAGACCAGATATATTTTTCAGGGTACTGCTTTAGGTACAGTTAACAGCTGTACGTTTTACCTATAAGATGGCAAACCTTTACTTTTCGAGTTCAGATCCACTTTCAGTGATAGAATTGTATTGCATAGCACAGACGTTTATTCTAGAACAGTTAATGTTTCCTTTTAGACTGTGGCCATTTTAAACCAATTTCCTATGCCCTGCTCCTTTTCTCCACCAAACTGCAAAGAAAGAAGAAAAAGGGCCTCTAAGAATGGCTGTATAATCAGATTCAAGTAAGTCAATGAACAGTATACACCCACCCCCTATGGATGTGTGTCCTCAGTGTGGATGTGGTCACACAGGTAGTGCATCATGGTAATTGAGTTGTACAGAATATATCCCCCCCCCCCCCCCCCCCCTCACCTCGGAGAAATGATGCACGGGGGTTATGCAAAGAAGAAACTGAAAGAAAAGATGCGTGTCTAAATGTATCTACCTGATAGACGAATTTCAAAGCCAACAAAGAAAGACATTCACCTCTAGGTCAATGTGCTGCCCTAGGCAATACAACCCCCCCTCCCCCTGCAGAGATAGCCCGACACTGACCAACAACCCACCCCCAGGAGAGCCTTCCACTACCACTACCACCCATACACCAGCCACCATCCGCCACGGCGAGCCAGAGAAAGACACTAGCCTTCACATCTCTGGATATCCCTGGGATCAAGAATGGGGTAGTGCATACACTGTCATGAAACCTGCAGTCTCTCTCGGAACTCACCAGGTCCCCATACCGCGTACGTCCCTTCTTCCGAGGGATGTGCTCTCCCCCTGAAAAATGCCGCCCAAGGCAAATGCCTTGTTTGCCTTTTGGTAAATACAATGTATCAGCATAACCATTAGGTCTCTAGCACTTTCAGAACCACCTCAGCAATGGTATCTCCTAAATTGCTTTGTTCACTTTATTTCTATACACAAAAAAACTTCAAGTTAAATGTATTCTTTAATAGCTACAAAGGTTAGTTTCCACTTTGTGTACACCAGATCACTCCACAAATCCAGTTATTGCCTTGTAAAAGTAGTGGTGACATCATTAATGAGTTGTACATATAATGTGCAGAGAGCAGAACTATGGGAGGGGCACAGGAGGCTCCACCCACTACAGGCTGCCTGCAGAAAACCACAGGAAGGGCAGATACAAGACCAGTTACCCTGTACAAGGAGAAAGATCAGCAGTGACCGGTCTTATTACAATAAGCTCCTGCAGAGAGACAATATTTCACACTGGATTACTGTAAAGATCTGTAGGAAAAACACAGAGCACACCAAGAATCAAGGTAGAATACGCACACATTTTGTATTTAGGCTATACAGTATTTGCTTATCCCAGAGTTAAGATTTAAGCGGTTTTATAGTTGTTACAGAATGAATACAAAATGGTGAAAATAATGATGAATATGAATTGCAAGTTTAAATCCGCTTACCTTTCCAGATCACAACACACTTTATTTTAGAATCTAAGTAGTGTAACTGATGTCTAACAATTGAAAAAATTGTTTTTGCAGGCTTTAAAGGAAAGCTTGGAGCAAAGTTTGTGCCTGGAGCATGGCAACAGTGACAGCTCAGCTGATGAATATGACAACCCTGAAGAAATCCTTGAAGATGAAACACATGAACTTACCAAAAGTTTAACTGAACTAAGGCCTGTATCTTCAGCTGTCAGCCAAAAAAGACTGATGCCAGGAAATTTAGTTTTGCTAGAATTTAATGGTAAGAATGCTTACTTTGAGATTTACAAATGAATTTAATGAGGATGACAAATATGAGTAAAGTTCAAGAGCTAAAAATACCTATTAGCCCCTGTGAACTTTAAAGACTGTCCAGCCAAAGTTGTAGTTACACTTAGAACAACCCATATAACACTGGGTTGGGAGTTGCTTTCTAGTCAGATTTTATTTATATAACTTAAACCTTTATGCCAATTCAAGAGAAAAAAAAATTCTGTTGCTGTGATTATTAACTGAAGTTGATCTTTTATTTGTCTTTTTACCTAAAGATCCCTTAAATCCATATTTCCATCTAAGACAACCCTGTCCACAGAGTGACAATGCTGCCGTTGCTTTATATCAAACAGATTTGTTAATCTATTACAGGAAGTGGAAAAATGAATGTACTGGGTCACACGTAAAAAAAAAAAAAAAATTGTTAAAGGAGAATTTGGAAAAACAAAAAATGTCAGTGTTAGGCTTCTTTCACACTGGTCCGGTTTTCTTCTGCTTTTGCTTTTAAAAAAAAAAAAAAAAAAAAGCGGAAGAAAAATGTGTGACCATTTATTCCTATGGAACTCTTCACACTGAAATGGTACTTTTTCAAAGTCCTGCTTGCTGTATTTTTGGTACATGTTTGGTGCGGTTAAAAAAAACTGCGCCAAAAATGCACCTCCCCATTGAAATCAATGAAAAATGTGTCAAAAATGCACCCGTGGTGCGTTTTTGGTGCATTTTTGAGTCACATTTCCTGTTAAAAATGCACCACAAAGGCAATGAAAATGAAGTAAAAACATGGCAAAAACGTATATGCGTTTTTTTGCCGTGCATCAGTGTGGAAGTAGCCCTAATGCTAGTGACAGACTGCATCATATATGTACATTTTTTATTTTTTTTTGCTCATAGTGACACTCTAAATAGTGTTTAAATAAATATTTAAGCAAGAACAAAGCTTCACTGCTGAACATACTATATATAGAGGCTTTTATCACTGGCCTCGCAGCTGAAATTATCACATCTTTATGCAAGAAGCGTAAGCATTTTTTCTGCAGTAGGAAATGCATTAGATATTGGTGTGTGAGTATATGTGTGTTTTGTAGATATATATATATATATATATATATATATATATATATATATATATATATATACATATACACACGCACACACACACGTTAGAAAGAAAATGGAAACACTACATGATTTGCAGGTATGAAATTGATGACACATTGAAAGCGGTAGTGATGTAACATTCTTTTGCTTCCGCTGTGTGATGAGGCACCTAGCTTACAGGTGGGAAGCCTCACTTTCGTCATTCACTGTGCGTTGCTAGTTATTCCCAGTCGTGTCAGAGCTTACTAAGCTTCAAAGAGGGACAATTTTTGATGCCCACATAGCTAGTGCCTCTGTGACTAAAGTTGCCAATTTATTTGCCATGTCTCGAAGTACAATATCAAAGATTATGATGACATATACAGTTTCTGGGAAAATGTTGTCTGATAAGCATAATCACAGTCAACATGGTCAACTGACCGAAAGAGGCAAAAAGGACATTGTGCAGGATTGTGACCTGGAATAAGAAAACTGCTGCAAAAGTGACTGCAGAGTTCAGTCTCAGTCTTCATGGGACTGATGGCTGTATATCTCCTGTGTGGGATATAAGGCAGTTCTTTCTTGACTGCTAGTCAAAGGAGATTTGAATTGAGATTTCATGATGTCATTACTGTGTTGCTTAATGTTCTTGTTTAATCTCTTTGCATCCAGGGCAACTTTGTAATTTTTCAAACACACATTAAAATCTTAATTTTTCGAGAAAATTATTTCAAACCCCCAAGTTATATTTTTTTTCTGAAAGCAGTGGCCCTGTACAATAAAATGGTTATAGTTGAAATTTTTTATGTCACGTGACATTTGCACAACTTTTTATCAAACACATATATCTTACTCATACAGTACAAGACAGTGCTTGTGTTACTAGGCCATGGGTTGTATGCTGGCAACTTTCAGGTCATTGGACACTGGCAAAAAACTTGCTAGGACCTCCTCTAGCGGGCACTCGTATAACCCTTCCCACCCCATGAGACTCCAATGTTTAGTGTTACCAGCTATAGCTGGCGGCACTAATCATTTGAAAAATAAAACAACAGGGCGGTTGTAAACAAGTCGATCAATTAGGGTACAACCAGGTTGCCCATACATGGATCGAAATTCAGCTTGTCTCGCTGAACCACCCAAAACTTCAATCCAGGTATGGCTGGCTTAAGGCGCTCCCACCTATGGTCGTACACTCACTCTACATTGCATATAATGATGCGAAAGGTCCACCTTTGTACAGAAGCTGATGCCAGAGCAGAGTATAAGTTAAGTAATCCTGCCTATTCTTGTATCTTCTAGACACCTTTACAATGCGGGGGGCAAGAGTAGATCTTTTTTTTTCTTAATAATTTCTGGAATTGGGACTTTGTGGTCACCTGATCCCAGGACATTTCAGATGTTTTGGTCCAAAATGTGGTTTCCAGGGGTTACAAACTAGAATTTCGAGCACTACCCTCCTCCTGCTTCAAGTTATCAAACCCACCAATATCCCTGCAAAAGCAAGCGACTCTCCATGCTGCTCTGGTGCCAATCTGCATTTTGACTCCAGAGTCTGATCTCTTCACCCCCAAGGTGTTTCAGGCCCTATATCATAGATTAGGAATGCATGATATGGACCACCTGGCTTTCAGGTTCAACAAAAAAAAACTGAGCAGGCCTGAAAAGGATCCAAGAATATTCTAGCCTTTGCAGTGGATGTTCTGGAGACTCAGTGGGATCAATGTGATCTGTATCTTTCTTCCTCTGATTGTCCTCCCTCGCCTACTCCGCAGGATTGAGTTGGAGGGCATTCCAGTGATTCGCATCACACTGAAGTAGCACAAAAAGATGTGGTACCTGGACTCCTGGCAAATGGGCCCTCCCAGATTATCTTCTGAATCTTCTGTCCCAAGGGATGATTTATCATCCTGCTTCTTGGTAACTGATATACTAACCTGGCTGTTAAAGCCCTGGTCCTGAGGGACAGAGGCCTGTCGGATTGGGTTATCCCTATGCTTTTGAAAGCTAGGAAATTGAACTCTCGCAAATTATGCAATCACACTTGAAAATCGTATTTTTCTTGGTGCAAGGCAAATTTATTCCATTTCAGGAAGTTTAAAAAGGTTATTTTAAGGCCCAGGGCCTCTTTTCTTCCCAGTGTGGTTTATTCCTTTCACCTTAACCAGGACTTTGTTCTTTCATGTTCTGCTCCCAAACATCCTCCCTCCATTAGTAGTAGTAGTACGCGCTGTTCAAGCTTCTCTCAGCTACAGTTCCTTTGCTTTGTCATTCCTAAAGATCCCTATAGGTGTCAGCCTGCTTCTTGATCTGCTATCACTAGGTGGATTTAAGAACTCCTCATTCATGCTTATTACCTCAAGGGCAAGGTTCTTCCTATCCAGATCAAAGCACCCCCTATTAGTCCAATTAGTGCTTTGTGGGTTTTTCAGCATCAAACATCTGAATCTTGGATTTGCAAGATTGCCACCTGGTCTTCTTTTTACACGTTTTCTCTTTCTTTTTTTGAACTATAGTCTTTATTAAGTGAATAGCTATGCAGCTACTATATGTTTAATTTTTGCTGCTGCCTGCTCTTTCCTGTGGCTGTAGAGTTTCCCCTCTTTTTGCTGCTGCCTTGTCCTCCCTTACCCCTGCCCCCCTCCCAAACCTGCATTGTGGTTGCAGCTATGCCTTGATTATAAAGAAATAAATTAATATTTAAAAAATACAACAGGCTCTGCTCTGTGCGCCTTAAAAAGAAAACGATTATGGAGCAAAGCAGAGGGATTGCTTTTATGCCTTGCCTCTACTGTGTGTCAACCACCACATCAATATACGAAAAAATACAGAACAAAAATGATTTTTTTTTTTTATATATAAACACATATGTAAATAAAATAATATTTGTAAAATTGTAGCTGTGAATTTGCCACTTTGTGGAAACCCAGGTCAGGGAGTTTCTGCTAGATTATGTGGGAAGGGTTGCAGCACAGCACAAAGAGCTTGGACGAAGGTGGGGCTCAGACTGTTGAAATTAGGGAGAGGGGCTATAGTAAGTTCTTTTTTTTTTTTTTTTGCGCAGTTCCAGATGGCAGCTTATGTCTGCTGTACACTGTTAACATTTCTTCCCTCTTGTAACTTCTGCCTTTTTGGCCTTTTGGGATGTTCTGCTCTCCCCTCCTTGCCAAAAAAGTGCAGTCTGACACTGGGGCCCGACTTACAGGAAGCACCAGCTGCTGCTCCTTCAAAGGATGGTGCTACTTCATATTTGCAATTCTCTGCCTGGCGTGTGATCTCCTCAAGAGCGATGACATTCTCTAACCCAGCCCTCTCTTGCTACACTCTTTTAATCATTTTGTCACTGCCAGTCCTTCTGTTGAGAACAAAATGAGAGATAAGCATGGATCCACATGCAACAAGGCAAAAATGGAGTGCTCAAACAATTTCATCTCCTCCAGGCATAGACCGTTTGAAGGGGGCTGGTGGGATATTGGGATGAGGGGAGGATGATTTAAACAATGATTTAAATAGGTACAGTAGGTAGGTATAGAGAGAGAGGTCAGGGAGAGGTTCACATAGTTTTACTTTTCCCAGCATCTTCTGCTTGTACCTGCTCCTGCTGCAAGATGGATATGTAGTGCTCAAACAATTACCGTATGTAGCCAGTTTCAAGGGTAATGCCAGGATTAGTGGAAGTGGAGGAATAGGGTGCATCAACAGTGCCAGCATATTCAAGGGAGGGAACTGGCTACTGGATTTTGTAGACTTTATGCAATCTCCTCATCAGTTGCTCGATTACATTCTATCAGGCCTGCTTCTGGAATAGTAGAGAGATCAAGAAATTGACCAGCACAGCACTGCTAAAGTCTGCACCATCAAATGGCCAGGACGAAGGAGCATGTCTGAAAAGATGCCAGGGATGTGTTCCTTTTCACTCAAGATCAGCACTCATCATCAGTTAAACACTCTGTTCTCGCTGCATCTGAATGGGTGGGTACAAAGGTAGATATTGAGAGAGCAGAATGAATTATAGATACAGGCATAAAGGAAATAAATACAGATGGGGATCTATGGAACTATAAAGCTATTTCTGGGGACTAAATGTACACATAATTTTAAAGAAACGGGATGAAAACCTTTAGGGAATTGAAACTTGAAGCATATTTTTTTTTTTTTTTTTTTAGCTTTAACCACTTTCCCGCCGCCCTATAGCAGAAATCACGTATGTATATATACGTGATTTTGCATTTCCGGATATCAAGCACACGCCCTACCCGCGCCACCAACAGCGGCCTCACCTGTCGATCACCGGGTCCTGGCCAGTGATTCCCCAGCGATCGCCTTGTATCACGGACGGGGGAGAGACCTGTGTGTAAACAATACAAATCTCTTCCCTGTCAGCTGCACATTGCTTTGTATTGCTCTGCATAGCAGAGCAATAAAAAGCAATGTGCTTACACAGTAAAGCACACACACAGCACACAGTTAACCCTTTGATCACCCCCCTTCCCGCCCATGGTCATTAAAACAGTGTCAGTGCTTTTTATTAGCACTGATCACTATATTGGTGTCACTGGAAATGTCAGTGACAGCTGGTCAGTTCCCACCCAGTGTCAGAATGCCTGCCGCAGTCCAGCTATAAGTCACTGACCGCTGCCATTAGTAGTATTAAAAAAAATAAATCCAGTATCTATACCGCCATTTGTAGACGCTATAACTTTCACGTAAACCAATTCATTTATACGTAGTAGGATTTTTTTTTTTTAGCAAAGACGTAACAGAATACATTTTGGCCTAAATTTATGATGAAATTTGATTTTTTTAATTGTTTTACTGGGCATGTTTCATTGCAAAAAGTAAAAAATATATTGTTTTTCTCTGAAAATTGTCTGTCTTTTTTCTTTTTTTATAGTGTAAAAAATAAAAAACGCAGAGGCGATCAAATACCATTGAATTAAAGCTTTATTTGTGGGGAAAAAAGGACATAAATTTCTTTTGGGTGCAGCATTGCATGACCGGGCAATTGTCAGTTAAAGTTACGCAGCGCCATATTGTAAAAAATGGCCTGGTCATCCTCTGGTAAATCCTCTGGAGGGCAAGTGGTTAAACACAGCCTTCCTACACGTCTTGCAGTGCAAGAAAGGTTTTGCCAAACATACCCATTTTATCTTCTATAAATGCTTAGTCACTTCATGACCATAGCGCACTTGTTATTAAAGATGTCTGCATAACTCTGGTACAGCCAAAGGTAACACTCATTTCCTATGTTTGAAGCCATACTAAAACTACTGTGAACAACAAAATATTATAAAACACTGGATAAGCCACAAAATGAATGACACACTTCGATAAAACATACCACTCAAAAGAACATTGCTTGTATGTCTAAAAACAAAATGTAAAAAAGTGTATTTCGATTTTACCCCTGTTGAAAATTTTGCTTTGCTTTAGATCCAGGAAACCGGCAAGCAAGGCCACTATCCGCTTCCAAGAAAACCATTTCAATTAGCCAGGATCCTGACCATTCAGCATATCAAGTTATAAATGCAATGCGACAGGAAAATGAAGCAGTCGAAAGAGCAAACAGCAGACAGACAGTAAGCCCTCTTATTAGCTGTAAAAATCAAACCTGCTTTTAATCTTTGTGGTACAAACTGTACACAGCATGCATATAATCGCTCTTGGGAGCCAAACACATTGTCTTGTTTTTAGTTGCTGTAGTGCCATGACTAAGGATGATTTATTTTGAGGATGTACATTTCATTTCAGCTGTAACTGAGCGATAAATGATCAACTGCACTATTATAATTCCTGGGATATGCTGCAACACACTCTAAAGAATTCATATGCTCAGATTTTTTAATTCTAAATGAATTAATGGTCATTTATTTTTAACCAAAGCTTGTTTGGCTGTAGTTCTCCTGTGGATCACAGGAGTGCAGTTTGTTTTGCACTCTTGTGACCTGTTTTTAGCTGACAGCAGACTAAAGTCTGCGGTCAGCTGGCATCACTCTCCACCAATCCAGACTGGGGAAAGATCGCAACCATATGTTTGGAATCCACCCAAATGCAGGATCCAGTACCCGAAGCAGACATTACAGGTCAGCCCCTGGAATCTACCCAGAAACCTGGACTGGCACCTGGTTGAGCCTCTCGGTGATCCACTGAGAGCTTGAGCCAGCCCCTCCACAGCCCAGCTCTCCAGTGAGCTTTGGCAGGGTCAGAGCAGATGGCGGTAACTGACAATCACCACTCTTTGCTCAGAGCGGCAGGGAGAACTGAGCATTTAGTGGTGTCTGATCACTCAATTCTCAGCTTTAGAGCCTGCAGGGGACAGATGCAGATTAGATCAGATCAATACTGCATCCACCTAGGTAAGCATAATTTAAAAAAAAAAAAACTTCTTTTAAATATCTCGCACAGTACAGGATTAGTATTTATAGGCCATTGGTTATATACAGGCTACCTTAAAGTGAAAGGACATTGTCAAAAAAAACTTGCTAGGGATGCCTCTAGTGTGCACTCATATAACCCTGCCCACTCTGTGAAACTCCAGCTTTTTGATAGTGTCTGTAGGTGATGAACCTTTTTTCCCCCAGAGAAGTATTTTTCTTTTAAAGGGATTACATTTTTGCTCTGACACTACTGTCAAGATATAATTGCTTATGTGTTTGTCTAGTAGTTTCCAGATCTGTACCCCTCGATGTTAGTTGAGAGGAACCATACCCATATCCCTTTGTGTGGGGCTGACCTGTAATGTCTGCTTCGGGTACTGGATCCTGCATTAGGTACTCGCCTAGGCACAAGGTGCAATGTGTTTAGTTAGCTGTAGGGTGCTATACAGGTCCAGAGGCATAGTCTTATTTATAAAGTTCCCAGACCATGCAGATCCTTTCAGGGGTATGTCTACTATGTCTACTATGGCGGGGAAACCTGGGCCTCTAGTAGTTTAAACATCATGAATAAGGTAAGCCAGGGTTTCCCTGTATATTGACACCGGTTCCTGGCTTTTAATAAGATAAATCGCAGTATCATTTGCCACTTTATAGGCAGGGTAAGGGGTAGTTATTCACTTTAATGTTGGTGGCCCTAATATATCATTGTAGCATTTCTCGTCATGAACAATTTAAACTTGGTGACTTTCTCCTCGAATCTAGACTTAGTCTCAAGAGAATGAGGTGGCTGCTTTATGCATCCCAGGTCAAGAGAGAAATTTCCCATTGTACAGGATGCCAAGGATGGGTCCTGGATGGGAGATATATGTCCCCATTATTTGGGTTGTGGGCTCTTTAATGGGGACACAAAAAGCAGTTGGTAGTACTTGGGATTCTCTCCCATGTAGGGTGGGAGGTTCTGGGGCAATCTGTCATAAAGGGAAAACTGACTTACAGTTTTTTCAGGATTGTTAAGTCCTGATATGAGACCCAGCATTTGACAGCCCCATGAGATTTTGAGTAGGAAAGAGCCTCTAACCCAGACTATAGGGACTGTGGTCCTGAAAGGATTAAGCCGCCTGCAAGAGGGCTGAAATAAGCAGGAAGCAACCAGCAAGTTTCTGTGAGGCATCTTCATGCTTATAACCAATTCTGTTTTCAGCATGTGGTTTGAGTGATCAAGGATTTTTACTTGGCGTTTTTAAATTAGGTTGCCTTTTTCTATTAGTGTGACATTTTGGATCCTAAGCACAATTGGAACGGTACTGCTGCACTTTATCGGACCTCTCCAGCAAACCATTCTAGAGTTGCCTGCAGTGAACCTCCTCATGGAACTGACACCAATAGTTACATTGTTAGTTCAGTTGAAAAAAAACACACGTCCACCTAGTTCAACCATTAAAAGAGAAAAAAATGTATACAATCCTATATACACAATCCTATACCCACAGTAAATCCAGAGGATGGCAAAAAAAACACCAATAAAGCATGATCCAGTTTGCTCCAGCAGGGGAAACAAATTCCTTCCTGATCCCCCAAGAGGCAATTGGATATTTCTTGGATCAACTTTACCTATAAATATTAGTATCCAGTTATATTAGGTACATTTAGGAAAGTATCCAGGCCTTTTTTAGAGCAATCTACTGAGCTGGCCAAAACCAGCTGTTGAGGGAGTCTATTCCACATTTTCACAGCTCTTACTGTGAAATAGTCTGGATAATTGTCCTCTACATGAGTCCACCCACTCCTTAGAGTTCTCTTCTGCTCCATCAATTAAGCTATAATTTATCGACAAAATTGCAAATGTGATTGCTGACTCAGAATTTAGATGCCATAAGCATACTTCTTGCCTTTTCCTCCAAAATCTTTATCTGACACTCATGTGGCTATAGTTGCCTCTCAGTAGGTCCACTGTCAGATGAAGAATCACATAAAACTGCTACAGAAAAATGTGTCCCTTAGAAGCCACAATCTATTGATATAGCCCCCAGACTTACCGGTAGATACCATATTGGTTCCAATGGATGTGGCTAAAAACCTGTTTGAAACTGGAACAGGCTGATACCAGTGTTATTACTAGTTTGGGATCCCTGGAAGGCCCCAGAAATGTGAAAACCTTTCCATTACACTTGAACCTGTTCTGTACAGAGACTGGAAAAATCCTTCATGCTTTTCTTGTAGATTTTTTTTGAGCCAAGGAGTTCTTGTCATTGTTCCAGCAGCAGACAGGTTTTGAAATTTTTACTCAAACCTTTTCAATGCTCCATAACCAAAAGGGGGCACCAGTGCTAACATTACTTCACTCCCAGCATACCCAGTGTAGGATGTTTGAATAATATCCTTTTGTGGGAACAGTCTGCAGAAAATCAAACTGACAGTGTACCTTTTTAAAAAGGTATAGTTGAATCCTGAACCTTCAGAACTCAGTGCTTGAACCAAATCATCACTTGGAGTATCTGGGTTACATTATGGAGACAGCTCAGGCCAGAGTTTTTCTTTCCTAATAAAAACGTTTGACACTTCACTCAAAATCTCTACAGTCTAGGAGTCATCCAACTCCTGTGTTTGAAGCCTGTCTCTTCTCTCCCAACGTGAACACATTTCTATTGCCCCAGAAGGTGGAAAAGGACAGGCAAGCTCCATCACTATCGGGAAGTGCTGCAGCTTTACACAGTTGGAATGACTTGGCTATCTGGAGTTGGTGGGGTGAAAAAAAGCTGCTTCACGTATGTGGTATCTGTACATTATATCATCTTGTATTTTTGGTTTAGTTTGGTTTAGTTTTAAAAATGATGGTCTCCTCCACTACCTCTGCATCAGACCCTTCAAAGTCACATGCGGTGACACGTTCTGGCCACAGTTTCCTCCAGACTGAGTTTAAGGTCTGGTACGTGACATCTTCCCAGGCTTTGTCAATAAGGTTGATGCAGTGGAGAACATTGAAATGTGTCTTCCAGAATTCTTTCAGACTCAAGGATGTTTCTTCAGTGACATTAAAACACCTAGTGAAACTCGCCTTTGTGTACAGCTTCTTGAAGTTGCAGATCACTTGATGGTCCATGGGCTGCAGAAGAGGGGTCGTGTTGGGGGAAAGAACTTGACATGTATGAAGTCATACTCAGCATACTCCGCGTCCATATCATCCACCAAGGCTGGAGGGTGTGCCGGGGCATTGTCTATCAGAAGAAGGCAGGTTGTCAGAAAGATATTTTCTTACGGTGGGTGCGAACACCTAATGCAGCCATTCTATGAACAATTGCTTTGTGACCCAAGCTCCACATGACAAGCAGTCTGGCCTTGTTCACATTCTGTTCCCTGAATGCATGAGGGATCTGGGAATGGTACACCATTAGTGGCTTAATCTTCAGATCGGTACTTGCGTTTGCACACAGCAACAGGGTCAATCTGTCCTTCATGGGCTTGTGGCCCGGCAGTGCCTTTTCCTCTTGCGTGATAAAGGTTCTGTTCGGCATCTTTTTCCGGAAGAGCCCTGTTTCATCACAGTTGAACACTTGTTGAGTGACTTATCCTTCTGCCTTTATGAATTCCGCAAATTCAACCTTATTCTAACCATTCTTGCTCTGTACATTCTTGTCACCTTCATTACCAATCTGCACTTTCTTTTTACCACTATGCTTGCTCTGCATGTTCTGGTCACCTTCATTACCACTCTGCATGTTCTTTTCACCTTCATTACCGCTCTTCACATTCTTGTCACCTTCGTTATCGCTCTGCACATTCTGGTCACCTTCATTACCACTCTGTACTTTCTTCTTACCACCATGCTTGCTATAAATTTTCTTTGGAGCCATACTAGATGTCCGGTACAGTATGTGCTAAAAAGCACACAAAAGCTTTACAGCAAGTCTACACAGGGATGTACAGTTACTGTACAGTATGTGTTAAAAAGCACAGCAAAAAGCTCAGTACTGTAAGTGTCTTCACAGTACACTTTCAGTGTCTGTCTGTGACCGCGATCTTTCCTACAGGAAGTCACGACCACGTGTCAGAGCAGAGAAGATGGCCGTGGCTCGTGTTCATTAACCGAAGCGGAGTTCACGAACCGACGCAAATTTTTCCGAACTCTTCTGTTCGCACCAAGTTGTTCATGAACAGAAGTGTTGGTGAACTGAACTATCATTGTATTTGGGATTGGTCCTAGC